TACTTTCAATTGATAACCTTATTTTATGATTTCAAATGGTAATGCAATACTGTAAGAAAAATAAAACACTCTTATTGTATCAAATTTGACATTAAACAACCGTTATATTGCTTCTGTTTAACAGCACTGCAAAGATACGCTTGAAATTAATAGACAAACAGACATAAGTTTGGGCCATTATATTACAAACAGACATAACACTTCACTTGTGCAAAAAAAATTACAAATAGACAATACACTTGATATTACATATAATTGTACAACACTGCAAAGATAAACCAAGACATCATAATTGCCACATTCAGTTGGAAAATTTTCCTCTTCAATACAACTATCTTCAACTTGGATTTTTCCAATTTTCTTTCTGTCAATTCAAACTCCAATTTTACCATATCACAGTGTTTGCAATAACTTTGAGAATTTGAGATTTCACTAATGGAGTGAGCAATTTCATCATCCCAAATAAACGGATCACAACTATTGCCCATCTGCAACCAAAAATAACATTAAACCCATATTACAAATTTCCCCAATATAAACAGATCACAACTTTTGAGAATAACGAACTTACCCCAGCATTCCTACATTTCCAGAATTTCCTATTATGATTTTTTGCAGTATTAGCAAACCACATCTTCATCGGACGACAACATCCGCATCGAGGAACCTTTGAATACTCGTATCAATTTCAACTTCCACCACTCTTGCTAGCATCCTCCATTTGAACATGGGGACGATTTATAGTGGAAATGGTTCAACACAGTATTGAGGGGAGAAATTATCAAGACGGTATGGATAGACGGTAGGGATGAACACGGTATTGAGGGAAGAAATTAACAAGACTGGAAGGAAAGATGGTAGTTGCTAAACGGGTCTATTGAAACATGAAGAACACGAAGACAGAAAGGTTGAGAAATATGTTCAATAGAACCCTAGATTTTACAGGGGGTGAATCAGAATATTGGGAACTATGTTTAATAGACACAAACATTCTAGCATGACTTTAAATTACACAGTCAGCAACGAATCTAATGCCACATATTAAACTTAAAGGGAATCTTGGAGTACAAGGTTTTCTGTTTGGGAATCTATATTTGTTAAGGGGCGGAAATAATTTTTTTTCAATAGGGGGTAAATCAAAATTTACTACTATTGCAAGGGGGTAAAATATATTTAATCCAATATTTTAATGTCCCCACACCACTCATTTACTTTAAAGGTTAACCTCTAAAAAATATAAATTTGACAGTAAATCTCACTTTATTATTTTTTTTTGTTTGTCAAAAGTAAATATAAATTAAAAAGAATTGAGGAAGTTGAATAGACTATTTTAACAAAATACATAGTAGTGTACATTACATCAACATATTTCTTTATCATTTCTACTCTCTCTTTTTTTGTCTTCTTCTTTCTTCTACACACTACTTTTTTTTTTTCTTCACAAGTCTTCTACTTGAAATCTTTTTTTATCTCTTATCAAAGTTAAGCTAAAAGACACTAGTTAAAGTAATTTTATTTCTTCATTCATTTTTTCTTTGGGTATTATATTATTGTGTTGTGATTTTATATTTTTGTTTCAATTTTTACCATGATTTTAATTTTAAGCTTATGCTTATAGTTGCATTAGAATCAAGTAACTAATTAGAGTTATAATTTTATGTGTTAGAAATGGAAAAGTATTTTAAAAGAAAATCAACATTAGAGTCTCAACAAGTTAATAAAGTGAAAAATGCATCAACACAACAATTAGAGTCATATTTGAAAAAAAAGATTTTTAGATGTTGATTTAGACAATCTTCCTGTTGATCTGGAGAGGGGAATCAAATGTCATGTTATCATCTAAATGATTGATATGAAATCTGAAGAGCTTATTTACAAAAAGGGCCTTAGTCAATCAAAGGAGTATAATTTTCGACAACGACAATTTGGTACGTCTTTACGTAAGTTCAATCCTAATTGGTTTCTTGAATTTGGTAGTTGGTTGAAATATAATGTATCAAAAGATGTTGTGTTTTGTTTATGTTGTTACCTTATGAGATATGAGATAGGAGAACACAAAGGTTGGAATGCACTTGTGACTGAGGTATTTTTAAATTGAAAAAAGAAAGATAGACTCAACGTCCATGTGGGAGGTTCTAATAGTGCTCACAATCAAATTTGGAGAAAATGTAATGCACTAATGATAGTAATGAATCAAAAACATCATATTAGAGTTGCTATCAACAAACAATCTGACTTGATCAAGATGGAATATCAAATTCATCTACTTGATGAAGTGACATTGTTTTGTGAGAAGCATATTATTGACATTATAAATATGGATGATGCCTTCATGCTACATGGAAAACCAAGACACAATGTTCAAATAGTTTCAAACTTGCATCACTTTCAAGTTGAGGTATTTTATCAAGTGACTCATTGACAACTTCAAGAGTTGAATAATAGATTTACAGAGGTGAATAGTGAATTACTTATTTGTGTAGCAAGTTTAAGTCCACAAGATTTATTTTGTGCATTTGACAAGGAAAAGTTGATTAAGTTGGCTTGATTTTATCCATCTGAATTTTCTCCAATAAAACTCATGGGACTCGACAATCAACTTGAAAATTATATCATGGATGTTTGTTCTAGTGAACAATTTTCTAATTTACAGGGAATTAGTGATCTTTCAAGAATGATGGTGGAGACTAAAAAACACATTGCTTATCTAACAGTGTATTTACTTCTGAAGTTGACATTACTTTTGTCTTTGGCTACGGTAACCGTTGAAAGAAGTTTTTCAACTATGAATTTTATGAATCAACTATACAATAGGATGGGGATGAGTTTTTGAATGATTGCTTGGTAACATACATAGAGAGTGATATATTTGATGGTGTTGAAAATGAAAAAAAATCTTACAACACTTTTAAAATATGAAGACGCATAGAGAACAATTATAACCTTGAATATTAAATTATCTTCAATTTTTTTATATACATTGATATTTTGTATTTAACTTTTTAGATATACATTATAATAATTTTATGCATAAGTATTTATATAATTTCTATAAATATTTATATTATTTGATTTTGATTTTTATATTAAAAAAATTAACATTGTCCCCACTTATTAAAACTTCTGTATCCATCCCTGTTCTTAAGGGGTATATGACTAATCCACTTGATCACTCAAGAAAGAAGTGAGGAGACTATAATATACCTTTTTAGATATCCACTTCAGAAACCACTCAAATCTTGCATTAAATGGAGAGTCCGACCGATAAACATCTCGCCACCAAGGGGATGCCAATCTGAAAATGGATTATCAATCTCACAAATATATGGAGATGTCATATTAAATATCATAAAAATTATTTAAATTTTAAATAAAAAATTATTTTCATAAAAATGTCAAAATAGAAGGAACAAAACTTTTTTTATGAGAGAATATTATTTGAAAAGAGATCTACTCTTTTAAAAAAAATTAATTATTTTTAAAGTTATATAGGTATGAAGGAGAGAAACATGTTTGTGTGGATTTCAGTGGAGTTTCTTTGTTGGTGGGACTGAGAAATACAGATTTTATTATGCGACAAACAACTTCCGAATCTTCTTCAAATAAAAGTTAAACATGAGAAAGCGTTTTTCAACAATCAACATGTTTTTATACCATTTATTTTTGACACTTTTAATTTCTTATCACTAGAAACAGTTGATCTTTTACATAGGGTTCAAAGACGTATGAATAACAATATTATATTTTATAGATTTATGAATGTAGTTTTTAAGAAGATTGCTTTTGTCATTCTAAAAAGAATAACGACGTTTGTTGTCTGATTATCTTTTATATCTATATAAATTTTATTATATTATTAGTAGAAATTTAAATTCTTTGATAAAAAAATTGTTTTTTTTTCATAAATCTATCTAACTCACTCCTTTATTTAAAAAAAAAGTCCAAATGACTGTCTAGGAAATGAAGAATGATTTATTCTCTCTCTAACACACTTTTTAAACTAATTACACTATTGTATAAGTTTAAACTTAAAAGATTTTATTATTTTTAAAATTAACTCTATATTAATCTATATGGATTTCACATGACTAAATTAATATAATGTTTTGTCTAATAAAAGAAAGACTGGTAAAAACTTAACCATCTTGTAAATTATTTGGGGTATAGGTATCCATGTTTTTTTTTTTTTTAATTTAGTATGAATGGTTTGTCTTTTCAATTTGATTGACACATTTACTTTTAACTAAATATTAGATACGCACATTAGAGATTATGTGCTTATTACTACTTTATTGATTAATGGTGTATTTGAATTGACGGTGAACAAAATTGATTATAATAAATTTGAATTTGATAGAATTGATTTAATAGAATTTAATTTGATAGAATTAATTTATGTTTGAATAGATTTATATAAAAGTGAATTGAACAATATATTTCAATATAAAAATCATCCATAATCAATTTTGGAAATAAAAACTATAAATTTCAACTTCAAATAGAATCAATTTTAGAGACCGAATCAATTTTATTTTTGATAAAACAAACACTTCAAAATCATCCACAATCAATTTTATATTTAGAAAATTAATTATAAGTCATACAAAAGTCAATCCAAACATACTATAAATCTTTTGTTTAATTTCATAAGTTTTATTGAATTACTAGGAGTTGATTTTGTAGAATAGTTTTATGTTTTCTTATTCAAGTTATTTAAGTCTTAAGAAATAATAAATTTTTCAATAAAAAAATAAATATAAAATTTGTCCATGAGAATGATAAAATGTAGATGCATATTTATAAAAGTAACATTAGCCACATGCTAAATTAGATACATACATGCACACACTTTTTATTGGTCCAATACACTTGATTACCAAAACCTAACCAAATTTAATAAATAGCAAAAATAGAATTTTCACCAAAAAAGATTATATCCTTATAACAAATGAAGAAAAGGAAAGTGAAAAAGCAAAACAAGAGATATGATTGTGTGGCTCTTAATAACTAAGGACACCAACTTGTTCACAAACCAACCAATCACATGTCGACAACACAACATTATCAAAAATATCATCTCTGGTTTTTTTCCCAAACCAGAAACCAAAAACCACTTGTCCCCAAACCCCAACTTGACATATAATATAGTAGTAATATAGATTGATAGTAGTAGAACATTTCACACTCACACTCACACACTCATATCTGTGGTCTCTCTTCACTTGTCCAGAAGAAGAAAGATCCATAAATTAACATATTCTCTCAGATGGTTTTGCTATTATAGATAGATATAGCTAGAAGAAGTAATTTTGGGTATAATAATAGAAAAAAAGAAAAAAGAAATTTCCTAAAAGAAACATTTTGTTAACATGGGAAGAGGTAGGGTTCAGTTGAAGAGGATAGAAAACAAGATCAATCGCCAGGTTACTTTCTCTAAAAGGAGAGCTGGACTTCTCAAGAAAGCTCATGAGATCTCTGTTCTTTGTGATGCTGAAGTTGCTTTGATTGTCTTCTCCCACAAAGGAAAGCTCTTTGAATATGCCACTGATTCTTGGTAATTATTATTGTTTTTTCATTTATAGATCTTTTCATTGCACTCATTTTATTAAATATTTTGTACTATTTATATAAATATAAGTACTTTTTATATGTACATCATTTAAATCTCTTTTTCAGACACAAACTATATTTATTTCTTGTATGTAAAGTGGATTAGTTGATCTACATAAACATATTACTAATTTATTTTTTTCCATTGAGTCTATGATTTTTAAGATCTATGTTAGGGTTTCAATTTTTTGGGTGTAAAGAGAACATATGCTTTCTTCTATTTTTTTTAGATCAAACAGTGCAAACCTAAAGCTATATGTTTTTTTTCTTTCAAAAATAAGTAAAAAAATGCAGAAAGAAAAGGATGTAGTCCGTTTTATGCCAGAAAATGTTCTTGTAAAAAGAATTTTTATAATTATTTCTTGTGTGTAAAGTGAAGCAGTTGATCTATACATAGGCATATTAATAGTATATTTTTTTCCATTGAGTCAATGTTTTTTTAATTTTATTTTTCAAATTTGTAAATCTGTTTTTTTTTTTTTTACAAGGGTTTCTATTATTTTGGATGCAAATCTACATGGTGAAAATATTTTGTTTTTTTGTTTTTTGTTTAGATCAAACAGTGCAAACCTAAAGCCATCAGATTTATTTTCAAAATAAGGAAAACAATTAATACCCATTTATATGGACAATACATGTTCTTGTAAAAATGGTTCATATATTTATTTCTTGTGTAAAATGACTCAGTTGATCTATATATGCATATTACAAATTTTATTCTTTATTAACTCAAGGATTTTTTTTTACCCTATTATTTTTTTTGCCAATTTCTAGAACTTGTTTTTTTTTTCCCCTTTATTTCACCTGAGAATGGTTTCTTTTTTTGGATGCAAAGCTAAAGAAGAAAACATACTTTCTTCTTTATTTTTTCTTCCAAATCTAATTTTTGGTTTGATCAAACAGTGCAACCCTAAAACTATATAATTGTTTTTTCAACAAAAAAAACTATAAATACAAGAGAGAAAGGATATATATATATATATATATATATATATATATATATATATATATATATATATATATATATATATATATATATATATATATATATATATATATATATATATATATATATATATATATATATATATATATATATATATATATATATATATATATATATATATATACAAAAAAATTCTGTTTTTTGGACAACAAATGTTCTTATTTGTTCATTGAGTATATTTTGTGATTGTTCTCAACATGCTTCACTGATCAGAATTTTCTTATTTTTTTATAATAAAAAAACATGAAATTGGAAATAAATATCAAATGATTTTATCTCAAATCGTTTATTTGTTTTTTTTTTTTAATTAAAATTTAAAAATCCTATATATCCATACTAGGTTTAAAAAAATAGATTAAAGCTGATCCTTTAGAAAGCCCTAGTTTAAAAATATTTTAATTTTAATTTAATTTTTATGTTTTGAAAGATATATATTGATGAGTGACAGTAGTTGGTTATTACTTGTCACAAGTTGATTTTAGATCTCAAGTCCTATCAATGCAGAACATACAGAAACATCATTTTGTGTACGCTTTAAATTTTGTTTTCTTGTTCTGAAAAAGCTTGATAGATTTGTTTCTCTAACTAGTATAGGCTGCTATAACTTGTAATCAACACGTATTTAAACTACACAGATGTCATGTTTATTGTGAAACTTAAGTCCTTTCAAAGCATGGAATGGAAGTAAGAATGTTGCATGCTTTTCTGTTAATTATAAACAGAACTTATATTCTCAACTTTAAGGTGCTTCGTGTCAATGAGTTTAACATGTTAACTTCTAGTTTTTGTTTCAGTTTGATGATTAGACAGTTCAGAAAATTTGTACACCACTTATTTTTTGTACCTAATTTTTTATGAGAATGAATAAATTTACATTAGGTTAGGTTCTTTCATAATTGTTGTTTTCTTTTAGAAAAAAGAGTATACTAAATTCTTGAAGTACATTTGTTATGATATTTTTGATATTGAACAATGTTTATTGAGACATGATAGTAAGATTTAAATTACAGCCATAATCGCGTAAGAATTTAAAATACCGTCATGATCGCGTCGCGTGTAAAGGCTTTCGTGATGTTGTGACATTGATTATAATCGTTGTAGTGAAAATTAACTATAATTTAATTATTATTATTATAATAATAGTGAATAACATTATAAATATTGCCATTTTTTTATACTGTTTTGTCTCAATCATTTTCATGATAAGAGATTGTTTTTTAAAATCTTACATATATGTACAATGCTTGATAAATATATACTAATTTATTTACATATTTGTTTAACATCTCATCAATTGTATGTAAAATTATGATTAGTTCAGTTGAACAGATGTTTAATTCAATTTATACTAAAAAATATAGTTAATTCATATAGCTTAATTAATCACACATGGATTCTAAATTAAAATAATCGACTCCACAACTGAATTAACCATAACTTTGCATCTATTTAATCAGGTGTCATATAGGTACCAAAAAAATGGTGTCCCTAAAACATTATCCTATACCTTTAGGGATTAGGGTTTTGTGTGCTCCTATAGGTAATTGGTGTGTGTGTGTGTGAACTAATTAAACATATAATTGATATTTCTTTTTTTAATGATGATTAAACAGCATGGAGAAGATTCTGGAGCGCTATGAAAGGTATTCATATGCAGAGAGACAGCTAGTTGCAAATGATTCTGAGTCACAGGTTTGTCATTTGATTTGATCCATAATATTTGATTACAAATATTGATAAAATTACTGTACATGTATAATATTAGCCATGTTCAACACTTTTAAAATCATTGATTTCAACATGTTATTAAAATTAGGTTAATAAAAATGTAATGATTTATGACAACTTTATTGTATTTTTTAATCTGTAAAACAAACATGATATTCAATTTGAAACATAGGGATTACATTCTTTCTTAATTGTTTAGGGCTAAATATGGTTTTGACCGGTATAAAATTGAGTATCTTTCAAATTTAGTCTCTATACTTTTTTATCATTTTTAGACCCTATCTTTTCTCTAATTTTTTCCCTTCAGGTTTATATTAGAAGCACTGTGAAATTAATCACTTAAAACACAAACCTAAAGAAAAAATGTTATTGTATTTTTAGGCAAGCTTCTAAATATTTTAGAGTCAATTTATTAACTATAGTGTGTTCTATACAATCCTTTCTCTTTTATTAGTGTCTATAAATATTTCTATTTGCCATTAAATTTTTTTTTTTGTGATTCAAGTACGATTCTAGTCTTTACCAATCCAAATTATGGAACGTAGCATTTAATAATTAAGTATTTATTTGAATTAATTGTGCAGGGAAATTGGACCATTGAGTATACAAGATTGAAGGCAAAGATTGATCTTTTGCAACGAAACTATAGGTATATGTATTTATAATTATTCAAGGTTTAAAAAAGGGTCAAATGCAGTAAAAAAAACAACATTAAAAACGCCGATACCATTGTTCATTGTTTCTAAGATCAAAAAGAAATTGTGGTTTAATTTACACCGCAATGAATGCATTCAGTATTGCAACAATTGTCCTGATTAAAACCACGAAAGCCTTGTCCCAAATGCAACACAACCGCCAAGATCCTTTAGTAAAGTATCGGTACTGAGTACGCACCTGTACTGGGTATACGTACCGTACTCCTGGTATTTCATTTTTTTCCATTATTCGATTTCGAATGAAATTTGTAATTTTCTCAAATATTAATATAGTACATTTATGCATTTTAATATCTTCGTCATTATATCTGAATATTACTTTTTGTTTTTTTAAACTTTTATAGTGATGTTTTGTTATGAATCTAAAAATTTAGTTATTCACTCATACATTTTATAAAAAAACTCTTCAATTTTATCAACATTGTACCATGATTTTTTGAAAAATGCCGTATCTTATATCAATACCGATACCCGCACCAGGTATGCATCGTAGCTAGTCACACATAATTATCATATGATACTGAAATCTATTACATGATAGGCATTACATGGGAGAAGATTTGGGTACAATGAGCCTCAAAGAGCTCCAGAGTCTGGAACAACAGTTAGATACTGCTCTCAAACTCATTCGTACACGCAGAGTATATACATCTCTTTATTTCACTTAACTCTTAACTATAGTGTGTTCTTTGTTACTCATCATTATTGAAGTAGTATTTATTTTTATTACTTGTTATTTAAACAGAACCAACTCATGTACGAGTCAATTTCAGAGCTTCAGAAAAAGGTACACACTCTAATCTTTATGTAGGTTTAGGTTAGGGCAAACTAAAATGTATGATTATGCATCTATTGGCTATATCTTGATAAATCAAACTCACATAACATCCATTCGCAGGAGAAAGTGATTCAAGAGCAGAATAACATGCTGGCAAAAAAGGTGACAAATATTATCACCCTTTAACTTTAAAATTTATTTATAGTTTCATGCAAAATTTACATATTATATTGTTTATCATACCAAAAAAATCATAGATCAAGGAGAAAGAAAAGATTGCAGCTGAGCAGCAGGCACAATGGGAGCACCCAAACCATCATGGAGTCAATCCAAATTACTTACTACACCAGCAACTTCCAAGTTTGAACATGGGGTGATCATTTCTATAACCAAACACTTTAATTCTTG